AATAACTCATCCAAATCCAAGTGTAGTAAAGATAAGTAAAACGAAATTTCGAACTATAAAAAAACGAAACGAAATAGGATCTGTGTTTTAATCAGATTGAACGAACCAGGGTTTAACGTCCTACTTCTCTGCCGATGCAGTATGTTATGAAGATCATTTCGCCCGAACAGGGGGGTTGGAAGGCCGAATGGTTATCACGTGCGCGCTGTATCATGAGGCCTGTCATTGAGTCAATATTTATTACATGTATTTTGCTGATGAAAGTGGTAACACCACTGTACACATATGGCTAGTGTAATCTGTCGAACATATCCACTTATTAGTCTATAACATAAGGTCTGTTATTGAGTCAACTAGCGTGGTTTCGATTTCCCGGTTGTACGTGACAAGGAGTAGGGTTGCCTGTCCAGCCTCGTGGGTTTTCTCCGGGTCTTACGGTCCCCCCCTAACTGCTAAAGACCCCTACGCGCACGCGAATTATTGAAATTAAATTAAACCATATGTTAGTCCCGAAATGACCTAGTCTGTGTCGAGTGGACGTTAACCCCCCCCTCTCTCTCTCTCTCTCTCTCTCTCTCTCTCTCTCTCCCCCCCGAACAGTGGCGTTTCCGCCTAACCGTAACGGAATTACAACTGTCCAGGGTTCTTCTACGGGTGACTAAACCAGGCGACTTAATGTTTTCTTCCTTGCCATATCCTCCACTCGGAAACCAGAGTGGCAAATCCGAGAAATGTTTTCGGCTAACACCAGGATTTAAACCCGATCTACCATGGCCTCCTTTTCTGGTGTTTTTTGGAATAAAATCTCGGGTAACACCGGGATCGAACCCGTGGCTGCTTGGTTAGTAAGCCAACGTCATACTCACCGTTCTACCGTAGCTCCTCTTCTGATATATTTTTATCTGTTCCAAATATCTTTACTTGCTTGTAGATGTGTCATGGGGAGCCACGGTGTCTCAGTGAGTAAGACGTTGGATCGCTTATAATCTGAAGATCCTGTTTTAGATCCCTGCGTTGGCCAAGAAATTCATCTGGATTTTCTGGTGTTGTTCCTCCCTGTCAGTGATGCAGGACAGAGGGCCCGAAAAGGGATAATGTATAGTCTTTCGGATGGGACGAAAACCCGAGGCTCTGCGTACATAATGGAGTGCACATCAAAGATCCATTGGCAGTAGGAATTCGATATAAGAGTAGGCCGTAGCGCCACCGTCATAGCACTCTGTACGTCTTCATTAGCTGAGTCGGAGCAGAACAGTAGGACGTTAAACCCTATTTCTTTTCAGGCCAGTGGCGTACCTTGGTTAGGTGACATCCGCGTCGAACTCCTTTATTGCATATGCTCCCAAGACTCAAGTACACAACCCAGTACTCAGAAATATGAGAATGGAAGACATTTTAAATATTATGTAAAAACAAATGAAATAAATTTTTATTCGAATTAAGTAAGGCAGTTTGTATCCTAAAGTTAAAGATACATTATGTAAGATTAAGACAAAGAGCTGGTCATTTTTGCTATAATAGCTCAAAAATAGATAAAGCAAAATGAAAATATTGAAATTTTCATTAAAATTACTTCATTCTGGGCCAAGTTATCACTGTTTGTAGTTTTGACAAGATGTGTGCATTGTGGTAACCAGGGCACTGGTATATTCGAGACTTAGCCCCGCTTTCCCATTTTTAAATTACATTTTTAAATGGCGAACCGCTCTAATCTAGTTAAAATCCCGAGTGTCCGATGCCATCGAGAGTTGATTATGGTTTTGTTTTGTTAATAAATGTCTAATTAATAGTTTATATAACATTTCAGGCCCAAAGAAACTCTGCAATAGGCAGATCTAGCTCTTGAATAATGTAAAAGATTAAATTTCATTCTTTGAAATTGATACTGTTCCTTCACAGCACGTCACTACGTAAGGCCTATATCCCTACACATATATATTCTTATCGGAAAATCTCTTCCTTATCGAACACCCCAGGACGAGGTCGATGAAAAGTCACAATGGTGTCTACTACAAAATCTCGGCAAGTGTGCCCCGGGCTTTAACGATATAGCAAAGGAGCTTACTGCTCTTTAATCATACTGAACGACTAACAACAGTCCACACTGACGGAATGAGACGAACAATGGGGCGTACATCGACCCAAGCGATAAAACCATTTACAAAAAGACGGGAGTAAAAATCTCAGTCGATAACACATGATTGTTCTACAATATATAGAGAGAAACCGTCCTGCAAAGCACACCAAGCAAACACACGCGCACAACAAAAAAGAAAGGAAAAACGTGCACGACTTCCATAAAGATAAAAAATAAATTAAGTTATACAAAACAGCAGTCAACTGAAAGTTAAATTGTACCTAGCACATGGTGAACAATCTAAACCAATTAAAGGTGCTGTATGCAAGAGCTAAATATGTCTATTACAGGTATTTTGTTTTAGCTAAATCTGCCTATTAGAGGTCTTTTGTTTTAGCTAAATCTGCCTATTAGAGGTCTTTTGTTTTAGCTAAATCTGCCTATTAGAGGTCTTTTGTTTTAGCTTTAAATGTTATATAACTTATTAATTATTCCTTTATGCACATGGCGAGTCCATAAGCAACTATCTAGAGCAACGGTGGCTTAGATATTGCATGAATTGGACCATTATCGCCATGCAATCGACTATGTCTTGTCAAAACTTCAAACACTCATAAGTTCACTCAGAAGAAAGAGAGAGAGAGAAATGGGATTTAACGTCCACTCGACACAAACTAGGTCATTTCGGGACTAACATATGGTTTATTTTCTATTTCAATAATTCGCTTGCGCGTAGGGGTCTTTAGCAGTGGGAGGAAACCGAAGGACCCGGAGAAAACCCACGAGGTTGGACAGTCGACCCTACTCCTTGTCACGTACAACCGGGGAATCGAAACCCCGCCAGTTGACTGAATGACAGACCGTGTGATACAGCGCGCGCGTGCTAACCATTCGGCCATCCACCACCCCCCCCCCACTCAGAAGAAAGTAAGTTGACTGAAAGTTTCCATATATGCAATTATCATTATTTTTTTTTGAGCTACTGTAGCAAGAAGGACCAGTTCTTTATATAAATCTTACATAATGTATCTTTAAGAAAACGATCTAATCATGATTTCCAAATAAATAGTGATAAAGGACCCGGAGAAAACCCACGAGGATGGACAAGCGATCCTGCTCCTTGTCACGTACAAGCAGATAATCGAAACCACACCACTTGACTCAATGATAGACCCTATGATGCAACCATTCGGCCACCCAATCCTCCCTAGAACGCTAAAAAATACCTCGAGGAGCCGTGGTGGGTTGGTAAGTAGGACTTGCTCAGTAACCAGGAACTACTGGGTTCGATCTTGAGTCTAGTCGAGATATTTCCTCCGTTTGTTTCAGTGGTACATGACGGACGGTCTGGGAAGGAACAACCTTTATTCGTTTGCATGGGGTGAACAACCGAGGTTTCGTGTACACGTTGGCATGTATATAAAAGAACCCTTGACAGTTGAAATTCGAAAAATTTGCAGGTCGCATCGGCGTTGCCTCGGACATTTCCCTCGCTTCACACAAGGTTTAGATAAGTTTAGAGACAAGTTTGAAATTTTGCCTCCACGAGACGGAACTTGCTCCGTCAAGAATGTTTTGAGTTATTTAGGGCATCCACAGATTATTCGTGGGGGAAAAACAAAATTAGATATTTGGCGCATTTTATAAATGCGGGGTGGTGGTGTAAGAACTACCAGCTCTTTATCTAATCTCCCATAATTTAGCTTTAAATAATAGTCAAAGTCACCATCTTGGAAGACCCAAAAGATACAGTCACCAAATATGTTGGATTTTTAACCCAAACAGTTGTAAAGTGATATCCCACGTTTTAAATTGAGTAAGCATACCCTGACTCGTGCACGAAACCCGTTTCTAGTTTCATCCGTGTTAATGATAAATAGCTAGCCAGCGTTACTATCAAAAGCACTGTTGGATTTAGAACCCAAACAGTTGCTAATTAGATAAAAAGTGATATGTGATGTCCTATAAGGAATACGCACACCCTGCCACATGCACGAAACCTCTTACTAGTTTCATCTGTTATGAACAATAGGATGATAATTAACCGTCTATTTGATACTGCACAGTGTGCTAGTCAGTATGGTATGTTTAATTTCTATCTTATTAACAGGAGTTGTAAAAATCCATATTGCTATATGTACTGATTGTAACCTATTCCTATTCAACTGCCATCATTCCTAGCTTCATATTGTCCCGTAAAGCATTTCTACGTGAATGACTGTCCCTGGGGCATGGTGTATTGACCGGTTTACTCATATTAGATATTATTGGCGGATGTATACAATGGTTACGGTTCTTGTAGGTCACCCCAGTCATAAACCAGCTACTAAAAGACACCGGAATCTCACTCGCCAAGTAACGAGTTTACACATCGCTAAAGTAATTCCAGATATTGGAACTCTTATTGTTTTAAACTTCATCGCATATAGACGAGCATCGCAAGTTCTATAAAACTCTTATTGTACACCAGATAGAGTGTCTGACGTCACATTACCATCTCGTGCACCGTGTATACAAATACCATTCTGTAATAATCATTTGCCTGGAATGGTCGTCTGCTACAAAGCCAGCGCGGGAAAATATCAATTTCCCTAATTGTATTGTGATCACTGGTTGAATCAAGCTATACTGCTCGAATAACCAGCGCCGCATTCTTCTACTCGAAAGATACAACAGTGTGCCGTTATCCTCGCCTGGAATAATACCGCCTTCTATTCACAGTGAATGCTGGCAGTGAGAGAGTTAGTTAACCAACCATTCTGCTAACGAGCGCGCTTCTTACTCTTAATACATCTACTACTGTGTCGCTTGGCTTTCGGGTGAAATTTTTACAAGTTTTTATTGTTTAAAATTTCCTTTTTTAAATAATTAATTGTTAAAATAGTCATATTCTGGTCATCATGTTTTCACCGGAAGACGACGAGCAACAGAAGTTAAATACCCACACCAGCATGAGTCCACCAGATGATGGAAACGCGGGATTTCGGGGAAAGTTAAAAACATGTGGACGAAGATGCTTGCAAAATTCCAAGGAAAATTTATTACTTGTTTTACTGTTTTTTGGTGTGTTTTTTGGAGTTGGTATGGGGTTCTTTGTGCGGGCTGTTGCATCTCCGTTCACGCCCAGGCAGATCATGTACCTTATGTTTCCTGGAGAGATTCTTATGAGAATGTTAAAAATGCTTATTCTGCCGCTGATCGTCGCCAGCTTGATCGCTGGAATTGCGGGACTTGATGCCAAAACGTGTGGCCGAATGGGGCTACGCACCATCGCTTATTTCGCTACCACCACCTTCATGGCGGTCGTTCTGGGAATTATCATGGCCACTAGTATACAGCCCGGGGGTGGAACAGGCTCCGGGGATATCAAAAGATATGGTGCCGCCAAAAAAGTCAACTCAGTGGATACATTTCTCGACCTCATCAGGTAAGTTGCTTTGTTTAAGATTTCTTCGGTATTCCAAAGCAAATTTTTTCAGATTAGGAATTTAATCCGGTTGTGCATACATTCAAAATTCCCTTAATTCTAACCAGGTTTTCTTTCATTTAAAAAGCTCCATTTAATTTAAAACTGAGTGTTTTTTAAAATCAAATCCTTTGTATTCTTTAAATACTAAACCGGGTGTTCTAAAAAATATTTTTTAAATACCGAACCGGTTGTTCTAAGAAGTTCTTTTTTAAATACTGATTATTGTGTTCTACAAAGCGCTTTAAATAAGGGATCGGGTGTTCTAAAAAGTTCTTTCAATACCGGATCGGGTGTTCTAAGCAGCTCTTTAAATACCGAACCGGGTGTTCTAAAAAGCCCTTTCAATACCGAACCGGGTGTTCTAAGAAGTTCTTTAAAAAATAAAACCGGATATTCTTAAACAGGCATTACTACTACGAAAACAAAATTTTTTCAAAATATTAAACTATTTCAAAATACTTTTAACTATTCCAAAATACTTTTAAAATACTATTAAATAAATGAAACTCTCGTGCAGTCGTGCAGTGTAAAGAATCCCGTAGAGCGAATTTAGGGTGTTTTTATGATAAAATGTGTTTTGGCATTCTAAGTGAAAGTGATAATGGTTCTATCAATATTTTTATAGTATTTCTCCCCTTTGTGTTTTGATTACAAATGGATTTCGAACTGATCTTTCTGTCCTCAATGTTCAAAACAACACTTTATTTTGAAAAGTAACACCACCATCATCATGGATACCCATCGCTCCTAACAAAATAAATTAGAATATATTCAAGAATTGTAGTAGGATTATTTTTAAAGAAAACTCTCGTCTACATATTTTGCTCACGAAAAGTAACTTTATTACCCATTTAGAATACACGCACCAACATGAATAAAAGTAGTTCTATAATAAATGTCTTAATGTCTTCTGATTTCTAAAATTATTCTTCAATAAACCATGAAGGCATGTAGACACAACGAAAAAATCAATTTAGAATACATTTTAAAAATTATAGTTCACTTAAGAGTTATAACAAACTTAAGAATTGCAGTATTTTTGTTTTAAAAACAAGACACATAATAGCTTTTAAGAATTTTAGCTGATATTCAAGTTTTATCATATGTATTTAAGGAAATACAGGAGAAATAATTATAGTAGAATTTTTATGAATTCTAGTCGATTTTTAAAGAATTATAGTAGGGATATTTCTAGTCGATTTTAAAGAATTCTCGTAGATTTGTAAGAATTCTAGTAAAGTTTTAAGAATTATAGTCGAATTTTTAAGCATTCTAAAAGAATTTTTTTAGAATTCTAGTAGCTTTTTAAGAATTCTATTAGAATTTTTTTAGTTTTGTAGTAGCAGTTTTTTTTTTGAAAAAGAATTCTAGTAAATAGTACAAATTGTAAGAATTATAGTAAAATGTTTAAGAATTATAGTAAACAGTATAATTTGTGAGAATTATAGTACAATTTTTAAGAATCGTAGTAATTATAGTAGGTTGATCAACACAGCCTTGTATACATTACTACAACTTACATTACTATCACTACACGTAAACAAACAGAAGGATTAAATCACAAATGAATTTAAATAGTTACCGTGATTTACTAAGCTCTTCAAGGTTTTAATTCATCAAATACTGTAAACATTGACAGAACCCCATACACACTGTACACGAACATTATATATATACTACCCATTGATTACATAATTGGGACAACTAAGAATTTTGTTACCTGCTATTTCAGTAGCGGATCAGCTCCCTAAATAACAGTATAACAAGTTTGGTCATTAATCTATTTCTATGAAACGTGTGTAAATTTGAATTTTGTGTTGGTTTGGGTGATGGGCGGTGGGAGGGAGTGAATTGAATATTGTATTCGGGTTTACATCTATATATGCCCCACGAATCACTATTGACATACCCATTTCAAATTTTTTTTTTTTTTTGGGAGGGGGGGGGGGCTAGAGACCCCCCCCCCCTCCATCCCCACCACAAACCAAACCAAATATCCTGAGTCCGCCACGGCCCTATTTCGAAGTAAACGTAACGGAATATTATTGTAATAGTTTATAGATCAAGATAACCATTATGGTGGATTCTACAGAAATAGCTTGTGGTATCATACTTAATTTTGATTATTTTGCTACGTGATCAAAGACAGATATAAAGCTTAATGTTCTTGGAATATAAACTATAGCTAACATCAAACGATATTTCCCATGCCAATATGCTTTAGTTCATGTGATAAAAAAGCGTCATAAAAAGGTCTCACTGTGTGGAGTGAATTAGCGGGTCACGGATGAATTGGGAGACTACATTCGACAAGGCAGACTAAGACACTCTGATCATTGAAAAAAAAAAAGATGGAGACAAAAGGATACCAGTGATCAAAATAGGTAATTAAAAAGTTACGGAAACTGATTTGCAAATCTCATACAGGTAAGCAATGATCACAGTATCCTCAATTACAGAGAAATAAGAATATGTCTAACCCTAGAAACAGGAAGGGTGTGGTCCTTTAGAAGCTGGAAAAGCACTGATCTTAGAAGCAAGGAAACGCTAGTCCAAGAAGCACGAAGCACGCTAGACAGAGAGACAAGTAATTATCGGATTTTAAAAACAAGGAATGTCCTGTCCTAGAAACACAGAAGACATTAGTCGCAAACACGATGTCTCCTAAGCAGGGAAAACTCTCAATGAAAACTTTTGTAATAGAAACCAGTAACAAGGACACCTGTATTTCTAGAGACAAGACCTAAATCTAGAAGCAAAGACTCTTACAGGCTATACGCAATATAGATCTAGAAAAAAGGGAAGCGCCAGGCCCAGGTGCAAGGAACACTCTAGTCCTAGAAGCAAGGGACGTGCCAGGCCCAGGTACAAGGATCACTCTAGTCCTAGAAACAAGGGACGTACCAGGCCCAGGTACAAGGAACACTCTAGTCCTAGAAACACGGGAAGCACCAGACCCAGGTGCAACGAACACTCTAGTCCTAGATACAGGGGAAGCACCAGACCCAGGTGCAACGAACACTCTAGTCCTAGAAGCAAGGAAAGCGCCAGGCCCAGGTCAGACTTAGAAGCAAGGGAAGCGCCAGACCCAGGTGCAACGAACACTCTAGTCCTAGAAACAGGGGAAGCACCAGGCCCAGGTCAGACTTAGAAGCAAGGGAAGCGCCAGACCCAGGTGCAACGAACACTCTAGTCCTAGAAACAGGGGAAGCACCAGGCCCAGGTCAGACTTAGAAGCAAGGGAAGCGCCAGGCCCAGGTGCAACGAACACTCTAGTCCTAGATACAGGGGAAGCACCAGACCCAGGTGCAACGAACACTCTAGTCCTAGAAACAGGGGAAGCACCAGGCCCAGGTCAGACTTAGAAGCAAGGGAAGCGCCAGACCCAGGTGCAACGAACACTCTAGTCCTAGAAACAGGGGAAGCACCAGGCCCAGGTCAGACTTAGAAGCAAGGGAAGCGCCAGTCCTACAATCACGACAAGTAAACTTAATAATGATACAACGGAAGCGCAAACAAAACCTCTAGTCGGTAAAGCAAGAGTAACACTTGGCCCGGTTGTAATGAAACCCCCGACCCTTAAACAAAGAAAACACTAGCCTGGGACAAAGTGCAACCTCAAGTTTAAAGTGAAAAAAGGTTCGTGACCCAGAAGCAAGGAAAAAAGTAGTCATATGAACTATTTTTATAATTTTATGACTGTCCACATAGACAGAATCCAAACCACGTGGGTCTGCTTGTTTTCGCGACACAACCCATTCTACTGTCAGTCAAAAGTTCATGAAACGCCCCAACAGACCAATATCTTATTTCCTTATCTATTGCATTATTTATTCTTTTATTTTTACTTTAATCCGTCAGACTTGTTCAAAATTTATTATGCGTTGTGAACTTATAAATATATTATACCAATATTATATATATATATACGACTGAACGTGCTTGATGAAGCATGTATTTCCATACAGGATTGTACTTAGTTCGCTGTATAGTATTATATTGCCTTCGATTTAGGTTTCGACCAATATATATCTGTGACAAGTCTATTTCGATAAGGGAGTCACGGTGGCTAAGTGGGCAAGACGCTTGCTCGCTAGCCGGGAGGTCGGGTGTTCGATCCCTGCATTGGCCGAGAAAGTTCACCCAGATTTCCGGAGTGGTTCCCCATTGTCAATGATGCAGGACGGAGGGCCTGACAAGGACAGATGTCTAGTCATTCGGATGAGAGGAAAAACCGAGGTCCCGTATACACATTGGCGTGCAGGTAAAAGATCCTTTGACAATTGGAATTCGATATAAGAGTAGGCCGTAGTACACTGTATGGCGTATGCCCGTCTTCATTAGCCCCGTTCGGAGCAAAAAAGTAGGACGTTAAACCCCATTTCATTTATTTCGATAATTAGCTTGCGGTAAAGGGTGTCTTTAGTAAGAGAAACCCAGAGGACCCGGAGAAAACAAACGAAGTTGGGCAGGTGACCATACTCCTGAGGATTGAAGGACTCTGTCACAGACCTTCTGATCTAAAGCGAACACATCAGACCACTCGACTACCCAAACCACTCATTGACCTAGATGTTATCAGAAATCACGATTTAAACTATTTAACGCTAAGATGAAACGAAGTTACATATATATCTACTACTGGCCTCGTGAGTAAAATGAATTCAAATGAAATGAAATGGGGTTTAACGTCCTACTGGGCTAATGAAGACGGGCATACGCCATACAGTGTGCTATTAAGGAAATTTTGCCCGGACAGCGGCACTACGGCCTACTCTTATATCGAATTTCAACTGTCAAGGGATCTTTTATGTGCACGCCAATGTGTACACGGGACCTCGGTTTTGTGTCCCATCCGAACGACTATACGTTGTCCCTTGCCAGGCCCTCTGCCCTGCATCACTGACAAGGGGGGTCCACTCGACACAAACTAGGTCATTTCAGGACTAACACATGGT